GTACTATATAAGCATTCATAAGAAGACATTGGATGGCTTTTAATTCTGGATTTTTAATTTATAGGTGAAATGTTCATTGCTTGTCTGTATTAAGTATGCAAATATTGCAACAGGTGAGATTTATTTATCTTTTTTTCTTTTGAAGAAGTGAGAAAGGACTACTGTTTACGACACCGAAATAAGTGCAAATATACACCGTAGACGCATCGTTTGAATTTCTTATTCCTTTTTCAAGTGATGGCTGAAATGTGGGCAGAATCTGCAATATTATACATTACGTAACCGTTCCATATAATACGAGAAAGTATGCGCTGTTTCAGCGCCCCTAGTTTTTCTACGAAACAATTCGCAGACGTTTCAAACCTTCGCAGTATCACGTTTCTTAGAGAACACGTCCACATGGGTCGCTGATTATGTGGTGAGTCACTAGACTTTGGTTTGTAGACTGACTGGAGCAGCTTCATAAACCGATGAACGAAAGCTTCCTTGACTCGTAACACGAAGATCCGCGCTGGAATGACTGATAAAGCTGTCAATATTGCAGACGTAGGAAGATGCCGGAGAAAGTTTGAACTTTTGCAATAGTCGAAAATTCTGAGTTCAACAAAAATGAGACGTGCGATATTTTGAAACTACTATCCGAAGGAAAAAAATATAAAAAAATTGGGACCATTTTTGAGAAAAAATAAAAATATTAACGCTTCATGTAAAGTATCCTCAAAAATCAAAAATATATGTTTCTAAATCGTAGGGCCTCCAGCTCTGCCAGATCGATGGGTGAATATTAATTTTCTAGAACACCACTTGAACGGTTTAGGCACTAGAGTTACCGACAGACAGGCTGTTTCGCAGGAAAAAAAAATTCGGTTATGAAGAACACACAAAACGTAGTTTCTACTACCCAACGCATTAAAGGCAGTAAATTACCACACATAGGAGCAAGATTTTTTTTTCCATATCAGAGCCCCACAACAAGAGCGTTTCTTTCGAAAAATTGCGGTTTTAAAATTCAGATGGTAAAAAAATTAATCACTTCCCGAGACGACGGGGCTGGCAGCAATAGTGTTGGGAAGCGAAGTGTTTGAAAAAGGAAGTGCAGTCTCGTAAGGGACTTCCTTGTGTACTTCTCTGGCTCAGGGATTATCATTGGCATATTCGATATCATTTGGTGTAGAGTAATTGTGTATATTTAAATATTGTAAGGCTCCGAAATTAGCTCTGTGGGCTTTCTTCTTCCATGCTGCAAAGATTTTGAAACTTCGGAGATCCATTAACTGTATGTGTTGATGTTTAGAGAGCTATAGCAATCTCAATACCTAGCAGCCAGTTAGGAAGCAGCGACACATTCTTTGAACCAATCGTAATATTTTGTGGAAGGATGTGAGTTATTCTGTCCCGAACTCTTACCACCTTTATTTCCGGGAAGAAGAGTGAGGTACACGACATACACGCATCAGATAAAAACTAAGAATTCGTGGTGGGTTTAGTTCATTATGAGGTGACCAATGTTCTACAAAGCAAAAAGCATATATTTGATTTGGATGTAAGATTGCCTCGATAAATTCAATTTTATTTCAATGAGATTGAACTTTATGATGCATTATGCGATTATGATATTCTGCCTATACCTACACGAGTATTTTTCTGCTGCATCTGACTGTAGTTGTTATTAATAGTTTATTTAGTTGACTCTAGTTGATATTTTTATTTCGTTGACTGTTGCTTGTATATTGCATTAGAATTTCGTATTTAGAATTTTTAAACAATATGATTCATTAAAATATTTAAAATTATTCAGATTAATACTTAATAGTTACGAAAAAAATTGGGGAAAGGAGTTGAACTTTATTATTGGGATTTTAATAACGAAAATACGATACTTGGTGAAACTGTTTACAAGTATCTCTCTTATTTTCACTGATTTCAAGGACATTTTGATTCAGGAGATCTATAAGAGATTCAATGTTTTCAGGAATGAAAATTGCTATTGCTCTCTAAACATCAACACTCACACCGAATTTGAATCACCGAAGTTTCAAAATCTTTGCAGCATGGAAGGAGAAAACCCACAAAGCTAATTTCGGAGCCTTACAATATTTAAATGTACACAATTACACTACACCAAATGATATCGAATATGCCAATGACAATCCCTGAGCCAGAGAAGTACACAAGGAAGTCCCGTTTATCGGTCGTCGCCTGGCTGAGAAAAGTTGACTTTGCGAAGAGATAGCGGAACGTTGTGTATCAATGACTACTTGTGTGCAGTGACATCTGCTGTTGAATCAATGCAGGAAACGTTCTGGAAAATATTTCTTTTAAGTCTGTCTTCTTGAGAGTGGGGAACACAAAGCCGGTCTAATGGGCGTTTTAACACTTGAAGTATAATTACCCGACTCACGATTGAAAAATGTCGTTACTACATAAAAAGAAGAAAATTAAATATGGAACTAAATCGAGGAATAATAGGAAACATGGCCAATGAAAAAAATTAAGCCGATGAACAAAATTATGTTTCAAGGCTTAAAATACAAATTCTTATATTTTTATGTAAATTATTCGACCGAAATTTACGAGTGCAATCAGAGCGAATGTAATTACATGTGGCGTCATAACCATTAAAATATTTTGCATTCACTTAACAACTTCAGGAGAATGTTGTTTGGTATTGATCCTATGCTTGTGGCACGCCAAATTGTATTGTGCTAATGTTCAGAGGAGATTCTCCTTCATTATATTAGGCAGTTTGTTTCATATAGAAGGCTTCGAGTCTCTGTAAGTTAACAATATTACAGAATTCGTAAAAATTGAGGTTTGGCAATACCCAGATACTGACCGGAACGAAAAGTATTACGTATCATGAATTCGCTCCCGAGAAGGAAATTAAGATTAAGTAGGTCTGTGGCTGAGCGGAGAATAAAGTTCCCACGATTGGTACATATTTTGCTTCAAAATTAGACTCAAAGTCTCGGCTCTCGTGAAAATTGCTGATTCCTCTCTTTGGACATCGACAGACCCTGGAGCCACCGCCAGCTAAGAGATCGGTGGGGCCACTCTGCCAGGTTAGAGCTACTAACTATCCGGGCTAGCACCGGAGGCTAATTAAGCGCCACTCACAGTTCCCCGGGACGAATCTGTACTCGATGGCCCACGAGTATCGGGTACTGCCACGACGAAGCCAAGTGCCCATCTGAGGGCCGTCCGGACCGAGGCCCCCAACCCCTCTCCTCACTGCCGCCACCGTCAAGCTATCGACGTGAGTATCGCCGGAATCTAGAAAACCTGACGGGGGAGGCAAGCTCCCTGTCCGACTTTTATAAGAGGGTTTGGGAGCAAGTGCTAGGCCCGATCCTGCTCTAAGGTCGGCCAGTAGGGACCCAACCGGTGAGTTACCAGGCAACACTGAGCTTAGCATCGCCTCTCTGCACCCACTTTCAGCTATCGACGTGAGTACCGCCGGGAAACTCGCGTCCGGGTGGACGTTTGCGCCTCCAGGAAGCGGACTTCGAGGCATCCCAAGAGCCAGAATAACAACCGACCTACACACGAGTTTCACGCTGTTTGTTAATGTTTTGACAAGTTGTGCCAGGATCATCATTCTTTTTGCGTCGCCACGTTGCCGACCCTAGTACTGTCAACATTGAATCGGCGGTGAAAAAGGTAAACAAAACAAACAGCCTGAACGACGAATTTCAGAATTTCTTTCTGGTTCCTTTGCGCTGCATTCACAGAATGTAAGTCATGATAATTTTCTTTTGTTCTTCGATACCAGGCTTTGCGATGGCGAAACGGATATTGTAAGGAATCTCGGCTACAATTTTTTTTCAGACACTACTATTAAATGAAACAAATTTCTTGGCGTTTCTATCACCGTCCTGGGTCTATCATGGTCGGAAAAGCTTCCGAAAATATTGTATTGTTCATTAAATAACCTCACACACAGACATTTTTATGCGAATACACGTTATTGAAACGTGTTGTAAGAATCTTTACTTGGAACTCAAGTCACGTACGGCAATAAGTTTACCTAGAATAGTTAATTACGGTCATTACTTATAAGGTAGGACTCTATGAAGTAAATCAAATGACGCTACATTAAAATGGGTTCTACTGAAATTCATATTTAGTATTTCATGGATTTAACAAGCGACTGTATTAAACAGCAACTAAACAAACACATTTTTTAGGGTTTAAGCGCACCGTGGAAATTGTATTATTTAATCACTAAATATTTTTTTATATTTGTTGAAATAAAATAAATAGTTTTCTTGATTCAACTTTAACATTTTTAATTTTTCAGGGAGGGGGGGGCTACGTTTTAGCATTGCTCCGGACTCAAAATTGTCTAGCTCCAGCACTGCACGTTCAGGAGACGAGGGGGGGGGGGCTCATCCAAAATAAAGATCTTAGAAATTCTCCCAAACTGCAACATTATTATCCAGGCGCTGTTGCATCGTTAGTAACTAGTGAAATTCTTATTCAAAATTTCCGACTGATTCCCTGTAAATGGAAAATTACCCTATTACTGAAACAAATAAAGTGAAATAATAATTATTAAAAATGATCTACGCAAAAACGTATTGACGTAATACTATTTTTTATAATTTAATGGTAAAATATTTGAATGTTCATCCACATTTTTTTTTGAATGTGGACATTTTCGAAAATTAAAACCCTTTTTTTTTTTAAATTCTGGTTTAGTAAAACATTTCTGAGCTTTCCTTTGTTTTCAGGACTGAAAAAAACACTCCCACACCGAAAAAAAGAGCAGTTGGAGTATACCACATCCATGATACTATAACAAGGAAACGTGTTACAATATCAAGGATCTGGAATACTCCAACGGGTTTTTTTTTCGGTGGCAGGTTTCCCCGTAGTTAGACACCCTGAGCGTGTTGGGGAGGCAACAAGGCACTTGCCATGGGCGCCAGTAACAAGGGACGCCATTTACAGTGCACCCGTTAAAACAAATGACAACTCCCCTAACTTAAAGCATTTGACTATAGGGGAGGGGGCGTGGCGTGGGCGCTCACCTGCCGCGTCTGGTCGCCGCGCGCGGCGCGCAGCTCGCGCACCACGAAGTCCGGGAAGGCGTCCTCGCGCGCGCACGTCACGGCCACGGGCCCGTGCGCCGCGGCGCCGCCCGCCGACGGCCAGTACTGGAAGCACTTCTCCAGCCCGGCCTCGCGCAGCGCGCACAGCGCCACCACCACGCGCACGCGCTCCTGCCACACCAGCCGCCACCAGTCCGCCGCCGTCGCCGCCGTCGGCGCCTGCGCCGCGATGAACTCCTTGGCGCGCGCGTACCCCTGAGCGGCAAAAATGTTCGCATCTGTGAGAATAAATACCGGTCTCTCTGGGGATACTGGAGAGAGGAAATTAAAAAACAAAACAAAAATAAACTACACGCACGCGCGCCACTCGCACACAACCACTCGCACACAACCACTCGCACACAACCACTCGCACACAACCACTCGCACACAACCACTCGCATTACAACGAGGCACAAACTTTGCAACATGTGATATGATCATATAAAATAATCATTACGTCTACTAAAAGGAAATATACGTAACATTTGTTCAACCATGTGTCCCAAATATCCAAAAAAAAAATCTTTCAACAACCTGTATTGCTTGAAGCACCGGACTCCATATATGCAAGTGTTTCCTGATATTCTAAGAAGCTATCTGTTGATAGACATCCATTGATCCAGGTAGTCAAGTGATATTTTTAATAGCATCTGAAATAAATTTTGCAAGTTTATCAAAGCATGACCCGAAATAATTCGGACTAAAAATGCAAGTAGGAACTCGGCGCTAGAGATCGTGCTTACCTAAAGCACTAAGCTGCAATCGCACTGGGTGAAATTGGCGCTCTACGACATACGGAGCTAAGTAATTCTCTCGAAATATTAAAGTAAAATCTGTTATTGAAACGTAGACAGGTCCTTCTTAAATTACCCACGCGACGCACATCTAACGTGTAGAATTAAAATATTCATTTCGAAGGATTGGAAATGGGAATATCAGAATGTTAATTAAAAAAAGATGGTGATATTTATAAAAAAACATTAAAATAAACTTTTAAAAAAAATCAGACGTATTATTCCCGAAGAAGATAACGAAAACGGGGGTCAAAATAATTCTTGCAAAGACTGTTTTGCTACTCCTAGATAACTAAAATTAACACAAAACATTTGATTTAGCTCATTACATCTCTTACACATTGTTACCAATTGATAGAAAACTGTGCCGAATTATAGTATTAAACAGCATTAATTAAGCATTTTCCCCTGATATTAGTGAACCTCAAATAATGCGTCTCCAACGTATAATGCAAAATGGAAGTGACGTTCAGAACTATTTTAGTTGTTGAATTAAATGGATGAAATGTCTGAAAAATAAAGTAGACCCCATTTACCTAGGAAATAGAAAACAATAATAATTTTTAAAAAATCTAAAAGAAACGTGTCCCAAATGAAAAAAGGAGGATCACTAAGTCTATAGCACTTACATTTATAAAGGCGAATATGAGATTTTTAACACAAATTCAATAAATTGAAGAGAAAAAATAACAGTGAATGTTTTGTATAGCGAATTAGCGAGGGTGATGGTTGGTCTTTCCTTCATTACGGAGTGGTTAAGTGTTCTGGTCATATTTAATTCCTCTTTGGAGATATTTTATATCGGAAATATTGGAATATTTTTTACTTTTGCACCAATCTGATTTGCGTTGTATCAGGCGATTCAAGATTATATTTTTTGCACTCAGCTCAATATTTTGCTTTTAAAATATTTATTTGCAACAACTTTTAAGAATTTGGTTTGGCGTCATTCGAATAAATTCTGAAACAATAACAAAGAATGCACTGAATGCATCACTAAGAAATGGTTTTATAGAAATCTTGGTAAGAATATTGTTAAAACGGAACATTTGCACATCTGAATCAAATGAAAAAGATAAGAAATATATTGACATTAGGAGAATCTAGGACACTGAACAAGCTGTTATCGCAATATAGAAGACATTCCATCCCTACCACATGTACATCCTATACGATTTCTCTACATTTTGCGTCATGATGCGGAAATCCTTGACTTTATATATGATGCAACCACAGTATTACATTAAAATTATACTATAGTCAATTTTAAAATGAACAAAATGCCACTTTCTGTTCAAAAACAGCATTGCCAATGATGTCAATGACGGCTTTTATTTCTGAAATTCATCTCTTTCATAGAAATATCTTCCAAATTTCTTCTTATTGTACTTTTGTAAAAACGTATTCATTACAATTATATTATCAGTTATAAAAAAATATTTTGTATTTGGTATGATTAATGGATATGAAATAATATATTTTTCCTTAATAATCATTTTTAAAATATATAGTTGGATCAACAGCAAGGGATGTAGAGGATATAATTTTATTTACATTCTCAAAAAGGGATATAATGGAATATTATTCAACTGTTCTATAACATTAATTAGAGTGAAAAAGATTCAAAATGAGAACAAATTAGATTACTTCGAATAGAGGAAGTTCTCCGATAGTACTAAGTGTATAAGAGTAAGGAAATATACATTTTTTCGTCAGGATTTAATCTGGGGCGGAAAAATATGGTTTGTCACGCACTAATGTTTCATACTAATTTGCCACTATTTTTCAGCAACAATTCTTTACATTAATAAACATAATATACTACCTGTCACTTTTGGCTGAGGTAATGCCACATTCCCAGTCCGGAAGCAAATAAGGAACCATCGGAGAATACTTCGAAAGATAAGTTAAGAGAGATAAGATGTACTTAACTGAAATTGAGTACTAGTCAGCTGCAGTGTGTTACAAAATTATTTAATGTCAATATAATAACATTAACAACAATAATTTGATTTCGGACTAGAAGATCGCAGGTTCGAGTCCCGCCCCGGGCATGGGTGTATTTGAGTATGTCTGTTGGAGTGTCGTCCTTTCACCCCTCATTATCATCCTCATTTCATCTTCCATATCCCCAGGGCTAACAACCCTGGGGGATAAAAATGGGATTCAGCTAAATGCTGGTCGCCAATTAAAAACGTTACAAGCTCTTTCCACCGCGATAATGATACTGAGCCCCGGTAAATATAGAGTGCATGCATACACGTGGTCCTAGTCGGTGAGCAAAAAACCTTAATAAGCCGATCAGATGGGCGAGATCGCGAAGGCAGTAGTGCCGTAGCGGTCTCGGACCAGGAGATGGGGGGTTCTAGTCCCGCCTTGGGCATGTGTGTGTTGGTGTACGTCTGTATGTGTGTTTCGTCCTCTCACACTTCATAATCATCGCTTTCACCATCCATACCCCCAGGGCTAATAACGCTGGGGCGTAAAAATGGACTCAGCAGAAATGCAGATCCCCTCTAATAATGTATTACGTGCATATCACCAGGAAAAAAAAATATAACTGGATCTTGATGGGTATAACTTCACGTTCGCGTGATCTATAGAAAGGCCAATTCGCAACGAAATAATAATAAATTCAATGTTACACACGACAGCACTACACCAAACGGCGATACACAGCAGTTCACACTCTTGCACTGCACAATCATGTGCTTAAACACCCTTCGACGCTATTCACACTTCACTTAACTGCACGACACAAGTTGCATAAGTTTTAACACATTATGAGTAAAATTTAAAATGTGCTTAATTTATTAATACGACAGGTGCTTTCAAGTGAAAGGGGTAATTTATACTGTAGCTTTGTGGATTTCGGAAAGGCTTTCGACACAATCAAAAGAGAAGCTTTACGGCGATAACAAAGTCAATTATGTGTCTCACGTAAAGTTATAAATGTGTTGCAGAGCGTAGAAGCATTCAGAAAATAACAATTTTGCGTGAGGTGTGGCGACGGTAGTACAATGCAAAAAAATAAAATCGACAGTAGGAGATACAGGATTGTCCTCTCTTTCACCGCTATTGTTTACTTTGATTATACATGATTTAATGACATGGGTACAGGAAGCGGGCACATGTGCGCCGCAAATTTATGGTCTAAAACTTACCAGATTGTTATATAGGATGATTTAGTTTTACGTCGGGGAAAATATTGAGGTTTTACATAACAGATAACATCAAACGATACAGAGAGTGATGGAACAAAAAGTAAATATTCCAAAAACGAAAATTGTTGTCTCACAAATAGGCTTTTTTGGGGTAACAAAGAAAATTGGTATTATTCGCAGGTTCAGCCTCATCTTAAATCTATCTCATGTTAAATCTATTGCGTGTCTCGGTGCAAAATTTTCCATGAACGGGAAATGGAACAGTCACACAGTGGCGGGTCAAAGTAAAGGTAGAATTACGCTCAAAGAAATCATTTCGGCAGCGCTCAGAGCCCTGGAATTACCTTTAAAGATGTGCGAGAGTGTTTAAATCGCTGGTTATCCCAGTTAAGAACTATGGGCCCGGAACACATTTCTACGGAGGTAGTTGGGGATAGGAGAACACGTGAGATAGAACGGTTAATTTCTGATAAGACTATCGGATACAAAAAGGCAAGATATCAAGGCAGCAACGGCCGAAAAATGCTCCCTAGTGACACAAATTCGCATTGGTTCGGTATGGGGTTGCCAACGTTACATCCACGCAGTTAAAACGGCCCAAGAGGGGGTTACCCGTGGTTAAGGGTCGCGCGCGCAATACTGTGTGCGTTGCGGTGATGTTGAAGATAGATCCACATCATTTTAAATTGCTGTTCTACCGAACCATGGAGAAGAAAACAGATGTGAAGGGAGAACTATTACTATCAACATAGAAAAGTAACGCTCGCCCAGAACGGATGTGATAACAGGACTCGCATCAGGAATAATGAGCATTTTTAGGATAGGTTCGGACTATTAGAGAAACGGTAATTAGGGGAAATAGCCCTGGTTAGTAGAGCGGAGTCTAGTCTAGAGGAGAAATAAATATGTAAGCACTGAGCATAAGTTAATCAATAATTAATTTTGTCATTAATTAGATCGTTAATGAGGTAGATACCTTCTAATATTTAAGTATGGTAAATAAAAGATGTCGTCTGGTATCAACAATTTATTTTGCTAATGATCGTTCGATCGCATAGCGATCATCCTCAGAGCTAAAATTAGAATTGTAGAAATAAAATTATATTAATACACGAATTAGAAATAATAGGGATAATAGAGATAATACAAATATTATATACAAAATATAGACATTGCATGCCTGATTCGTAAGCAAACAGGGTCGAAATTACGTTGCAAGAATGATCGCTACGCGATCGGAACGATCATTAGAAAAATAAATTGTTGATAGCAGACATCTTTTATTTACCATACTTAAGTTTGTCAGTTTATAAGGAAATAATTTATTAAGTAATAAATAAATATATAAATAAATAAGAAGATCGATAATCAAATAAGTGAACCACCAAATTATTAAATGAGCAATTAGGGGCAAATGGGAGTGTGTGTCGCAGAAGAAAGCGCGGAGGCGAGAGTGCGGTGGCTCTGTTTCGGAGCTGCGGCGGCCGAAGACTGGAAGGAGAAGACGTGACGTCCGCGCCAGGAAAAATAATTAGTTGAGAAAGAGTTTGGTAGATTAGTATGTAGTCATCTTGTGACGGTAGGTTTTCCCCATTCGTTTTTTTTCCTTAGCCGACCCATATAGTCTCTTTTCCGTGCCTTTGACGCGATGGACAGACCATCTGAGGAGTACGATAACAAAATCGTATGTGCCGTATAACAAAATTCGAAAGGTCCGAATTCTTCAGGGTGTAGGTATCGTAATAGCTTAAAGGCCTTTGGACCTACCACCCGGTATTAGGTTATGTAGTTTGTGTGTATTAATGACCAATTAAATAGAAAAATATCTTAACTAATTTTAACTCTATGAACAGTGCGAGAAATAGTTTTGGAAATTGATTTAAAAGTGTTCCAATCCCATACATAGTTCTCTTGGCGATTTACTTGATTGATTAATGACGATTCCAGGTGCTAATGTCATTAGTCCTGTAAGTGTAGTGTATGTTTCATCGGTGAAGGTGGTGGTGATTCTCGCCCGCCAGTTGGCGAAATCTGGCGCCGACCTACCCACCGTCATGCGGGGTTATTCCTCAACCAGGTATTTCCCACCAGGGGGGCACCGCAGAGCCGGGGCTAACTCAAAGTTGCAGATTGACTCGCGGAATGTGTGGTAGTGTAGTGCATGAACGTGTGTAAGTAATGGCGAGAATGGGACAAGGAAGGGGAAGGAAAGATCGCGCGCGGTCCGTCGCCTATCTGTTAATGTACTGCTTCGACATTCACCTGGTGTTGATCGGAGAAACCACGGAAAATTGCCGATCAGAACAGCCAGCCGCTATAATTATCTCCAGACAGCGACTGAATTACTCCATACAGCTGACAAGCTAGTGGAGAACATCCTGCAACCGTTGGGAGTCGAACCCTAGGACCTCCCGGTCAGGGGCACTGCAGTGACATCAATCAATGCATTGGGCCACTTAAGCTAGTGAAACCAGTTGACCTGCGTACAATTTAAGCAAAGCGCAAAACCCTTCCTTACCTTCTAGTTTTGAGCAGTTCTCATAGTTATTTTAATGTCCTTTTCCCGAACGTAAACTTGAAATGCTTATTTTGATTTCTTTCTAAATTTCCTTTGTAAGTCTATGAATTCCATGAAGTCACTCCGTTAGGAGCATTGTACAAGAATCACGAGATAAATTGTTCTACATCGTTGATGGACTTAAAAATAAAATATGAGAATATTAAGCAATAGTATTTCAATTTGTTGCAAAACTTAATATTAGTCATATATTGTGAGAATTTATAGTAAAAATGAACCTGTTAAAACTGTTTAATGAAATTAAACATCGCAAGAAATCTTGAAACGAACCCCCTGGAACATCTAACACGACTAGATATTAACATGGGCACCGTAAGGCCACCTAGAGTCTGATACCGGTATTATCTATCACAGAGAAGCTTTTGGTAACTGGAGTTCCTTCCGCAGGTAGGCAAGTCTCCCGTTGGTTGGTAGGTGGATATGGTAGGACCCCGTCTGTACGCAGACCCCTGTCGGTCGGTAGGTAGGTTTGTAGGACCTCCTCGTTAAGAAGCTCATCTGCCTAGATTGTACTCGTTGAGCAGCAGCGGTGTCGCTCTACGAAAGGAGGGGACCGGGGCTAGTGACCCTCTTAATCCGCACTGATCAACAATTCGCCAAATCCCTAACTCCAACCCAAACCATCCGCCAGAAGCATCTCTCTATTTCTTTGCATCGTGGACCTCGCAAGGTCGACAGATTCTGATCGCAGCTGGTCTGAGCGACGGCGGGGAAGTTTGCCGAGCGGGTCCCCGACGGTCGGCGGCGGTTGCGAGCACATCCTCTTTCCGGCGCGTTATCGCGGGAAGGAGCGGCCGCACCGCCGCTGCGCCTCCGCCACTTCGCCGCTCGGCGCCTTAGCACTCGACGCAAACGAAGCGCTTTGGCACTCCGCGACGAATACGGTGGCACCCACAGAGGCAGTCGTGGGCGGTCGTGGGCGGTCGTGGGCGGTCGTGGGCGGTCGTGGGCAGACCAGGCGATCGCTTGGGACCCTGTTTAGTCAAGGGGCCCAATGATGGGAAAAAATAGTTTAAAAAAATGAAAAAATAGTTTTAAAAAATGAAAAAATGGTTTTAAAAAATGAAAAAAGAATTAGAACACGAGAAAATAGTTATCGTAATTTTGTAAGTCGCGGTACAGTAGTCTGATGTTTTATAAAATTTTCAATTAATTTTTAACCTTAAATAGTTAATTGTAGTAGTCATTACTTGTAAGCTCGAACTCTGAGATGTTTTGAAACACACGTTCGTAAATTTTTACATATTATACAGATATTGGCTATCAATTTTCATTTTCATTATAACGCACATAGTTTCTTGATGCAACTTTCATATTTTTAATTTATTTTCGCAAGGTGGTGAGGGGGATCTAAGTGTCAGCATTGACTCGGACCCAGAAATGTCTAGCTCCGGCACTGGTCACGGAAGTTTCAGTGCTCTCCCCCAGCAGAAGCCGGCGATTCATATCCGCAAAAATAGGTTTTTACTAATTTTCTGTGGTATAACGAAAGGCATTTAGTATACGAGTTCAATACGTGGGAAATAATTGTAATTCGACAAATAAAAATTCATTTTAAATTCATCATAAATGAAAAATTCTTCACGCGAATCATCAAGTAAGCTTGGCGTTACCCTACCCTCCCATAAAAAAATTCTGGGTTCGCCTCTGCACAGGTACTTCATGGACATTAGTTGCATGAGTCACCTATGTAACAACTGGGTGGTATTTCGGGACATTTCGGTACAATAGGGTTGCGATTTGACCTTGCATGCTCTATGAGCTCAAAGACCAAATGGTGAGATGGTCCCTTCATTACTCAATCAACCTCAGTTGTTGTAGCACTAACGAAGACTGTCACACAATTCGTTTACATTATACTTCCATCAAAAAATGGCATTGCCAGTGGACGTAACGACAATTTACACTCGACTGCGGTTGGGCTGTTTTGAATTTAAAAAAAGTCTGTACTCACGTCCACGTAGTTCGCGTTGATGTAGTCCGACGCCAAAGCATCTTCTCCCGGAAACGGAAGGAGCACCACTCGCGTTTCGTCATCTGGAAGCAGCGCCATCACATAAAGTTGGCTGGAGGGAAAAATTGCAGACAGTGAAAGGAATTAAGGAAAATTGCAAACAGTTGTTTATGACATGTAGATACCTCGAATTCCAAATTGAAGCTCCATACACAGCCCATTATTTAGATGTTTTCGTAAATGAAAACTCAAGTTGAATTTACCGTGCATGTTTATACATAGATGAAGTAGTGCAAAGCAGAAGTGGGACTAATGCATGTTTTTTTTCTAGGGAATGGTTGTGTGTCCTTATTTGCTTTACAATCAATTCGTCAGGAACTGGTGATAATGAAGTGCACTTTTGCCAGGAAGAAACAACTGAAAAACAACACGCCACGTACGTCAACGAGTCATGAGTTGAGTCAACCAATAAATTACTAACCGATGGATTAAAGGAAATGCCTGATAACGTATGCGATTTTTGCCATACATTTCTAACTCACGATAATCCCGGAGATAGAGAAACTCCACACCTGTAAATTATCTCAGAACTCAAGTATGAAATGTAAATTACTATCGCAAAACGTGGCCTGCTGGTAGCTTCACCTAGTCCGCTGGCAATTCATTGGTATACTAAAGGCTGATTTTATGAACTAGTTGCGTACGAGTAACAATTTTCGTCCAAGTACACATTTTAACTGCGATGGTATGTCCGAAATTGAAACATTTTAAGGTACGAGTGCGCACGACAAAGGCATCTTAACATGCTCCATTTCCCTCAGAGTTGAAAGCAGGTAATTATCCGCAAACGCCGAGGCGCGTGTTTGCAGATTTATTGCAGCGAATTGCGTTGCAGTCACAGCGGAAAAACCACGATGATGAAACTGTCTGGGCGCGTCTAGCCTTGAGGAGCGTTAACGATCCACCCACGTAGCTAAGAGTAGGTGTATGCTACAATGAAAATATATCGCTTGTTTGGCTAAAAACCATCATTCATCGTGTGATCAACTTTACTGCTTATACAGAATCACAGTTTCTACAAAATGTTGCTGTATGTTATACTTCGATTTTGTTTATTTTTACGTTTAAGATCCTTTCTCATATATATCTTTCTTCGGATATTTCTTTTCCTTCAGAAATCACATTTCTGTGTCCTCAGCTTTGGATCCACATATACTCCAAGGCTCTCATAATAACGATAAAAAATATAAATTTTAAATCTAAAAAAAACTAATTACGAAGTTTTTATTCGAAAATTGTTGGAAAAATCCCTTAAAAGCAGCCGTAACTGGATTCTGCGGAAAAGGAAAAAAGAATCCTTTACACGAGAATAAACTAATATAGGTACCCTTGCATTTCCGGTATCTATATGATATCTTGTTGACAGTATTAGCAAAGCACAGCTGCAGAATATAATCTTATCTCCTGGCAAAGTACTTCGAGGTCTCTGTGCGTTTTAACTTCTAGAAGGAAGAGTTGCTGACGATAGGTATTCGCTAAATACTACTCGGTAGAATTTGAACTTACGTTAGTTGAACTTACGTTAGTTGCACTTACTATGAATACGAAAACTTGTACCAATCGAAACTCAAGGTATTTCAGCAATTGCCTCCAAGTTCATTATGTTTACCTTAGCACTATGATTTAACAACGAATAGGATCAATCTAATATAAGAACAGGTTTATTGATGGATAATATGAAAGTGTAATATTCCTTGATCATGGACGTTGTAAATTAAGGTACAAAATCAATCACAGGAATTAATGTAGGAGTGTTGTAAAACGCTTGTTCTTTACACACATCTTATCCTTATTCCTTTCCAAGGCAGTACTTCAAGTTGGCTACACCTAACTGACAAGTCCTTTACAGGAGCTTTCTGGTACACAAAAAAAACCTATCTCGATAATTACGTACTATTAAAAAAACTTTCAGTGTAATGTAGGATATGGAAGGCAATTTCACGGTCGCATATAACAATAATAAATTAACGATGAGTGAGCGCAAAGATACAAAGAAAAGCCAAAGTTCGTGTGCCAAAATATTATATAATATCCAATAGATTGAGAAAAAAGAGGGGGAGACTGAAACCGGTTTTGCAGAAGTGGCAAAAGCTTCTAGTTAGCCAGTAGAAAATAAAAAAAGAAGAGGAACGAAGAGGAGACGAGGAGCGAAATATGACTTCTTCGCTGGCCGGGTGACGTCGCGCCGATGGCTGAGAGACCGAATTTCGCCTGATATATCGCAACTCTTTTTAAGGGTAGTGCCAAAAACCCTGAAGTGAACAATCCTCACTACCTTGAAGAAGCCTGCGATATGACCGGCGAAATGTCGGTCTCCCAGCCAACGACGCGGCGTCACCCAATCAGCGAATAAGTCATGAACTCGAGCCGCGGAAGCCTACGTGTACACGCGGAGGGAAGTACTCACAGGCGACGAGGTCGTTGTATCGATTGCGGCGGCGGTTCTCGGGGCGGCGGCCGCAGAGCGCGGGTCGCACGCAGCCGCGCGGCAGCAGCGCGTGCTGGTCGCGAAGCTCCTCCGAGCGCAGCGCGTCCGCCACGTACGCCTCGAGCGCCGACGCCGCCACGCGCCGGCTCAGCGGCTTCTCCTCGGCGCCGTCGCCCGGCGCCCGCTCGCCCGCGCGCCCCAGCGCCTGCCCGCGCCGCCGCCTGCGCACCACCGGACACTTCGCTTCGCTGGCGCCCCGAGCACTCACCAGCGCCACAGGGCGAATCCTCCCACGACCAAGCCTACCAGCGCGCCCGACAACTTACCAGCGCCACAGACGAATCCTAGCGCGCCCGACACTTACCACACCACAAGACGAGTCCTCCCACGCCACGCCCACCACGCGCGCCCCTGCACTACCAGCGCACACAGGACGAATTCCTACGCCGCGCCGCACTCACCACGCCACAGGCGAAAAGCCTCCCAACGACCCACGTTTCACCATCGCGCGCCCCAGCCACTCACCAACCGCCACAAGGCGAAAGCCTCCACGACACGCCACCAGACGCGCCTCGAGCATTCACCATTGCACAAGCACAATCCTCCCCCACGCCACGCCCACCAGCGCGCCCCAGAAACTTACCAGCCGCCACAGGACAAAATCGTCACTGCCACGCCCACTAGCGCGCCCCAAGGCAACTTACCAAGGGCCACAGACGAATCTCTCACGGCCACGCCACCAGCGCGCCTCGAGCCCTTGCACAAACGAATCTCCACCACCACCAGGACCGAACTCCCTCCCGGACGAACCACAGGGCACCCCTACCAGCGCCCTCGAGCACTTACCAGCCGCCACAGGACGAATTCCCACCCACGCCACGCCCCCCCAGCGCGCCTCGAGCACTTACCGCCCCCAAAGCAACGAATTCCCCCCACCTACGCCACGCCCACCAGCGCGCCTCGAGCACCTTAACCAGCACCAAAGGACGAATTCCACCCACGGCCACGCCCCACCAGCGCGCCTTGCAGCACTACCACACCAAAGGACCGAATTTCACCCACGGCCACGCCACCAGCACGCCTCGAGCCCTTACCAGCACCACAAGACGAATCCTCCCACGACCAAGCCTACCAGCGAGCCTCGAGCACTTACCAGCGTCACCGGACAAATCCTCCCACGGCCACGCCCATCAGCGCGCCCCGAGCACTCACCAGCGCCACAGGACGAATCCTCCCACGGCGACGCCCACCAGCAGCACGGCTACCAGCGCGCCCAGCACGATGGTGAGCGTGCTCTCCCACTCGTGCGGCGCCTCGCCAGGGGGCCCCGACGGCCCCGCTTCCGCCTCCACCGCCCCGTCTGCGTCGGACGCCCCCTCGCCACCGCCGCCGCCGTCGCCGGGCGCGAGGGGCGTCGTAGCGTCCTCCGGGGGGTCGGCAGGGGCCGGGGCGATGTCGGTGCCCGCCTCCGCTGGCGTCTCCTCCGTGGGGTCGGCGGGGGCCGCCTCCTCCTCCGGGCCGGCGGCGGCGGGCGCCTCCGTCGGTGGCTCCGCGGTGCCGTCAGATTCAGGTGCATCACCTGCGTCCGCCTCTGCTTCGGCTCCTGCCTCGGCTTCCGCCTCTGCTCCCGCGTCGTCCCCCACAGGCGCCATCTCAGTGGCGGCGTCCTCTTCGCCTTCACCCTCTGCAATCACGTTTGGATATCATCCAACGTCCTCTCAGCATCACCATTTAGGCACGTGGCACTATTATCTCACAATTCTAACAATTTTAATTAGTAATTAGACCAGTATTGTCATATGCAGCTGAAATGTGAGAAGTCTCAAAAAAATATGCCAAATGATGGAAGTGTCGGAAGTTCGGATGCTGAGAAAAATTACAAATAAAACTATAAGGGATAAAGAACCTAATATTAATATAAGATAAACTTGCCAAATATATATAATCTCAGACTGGGTTTGAGAAAGAAGAAAGAAATGGAACAAACATGTAGACAAAATGGAAGACGACAGACTGGTGAAAGTGACTAGAGATAGAAGACAGGAAGGAAGGAGAATAGGACGTCCAAGAACTAGGTGGAAACACATTTTGTGAAACAAGACAGCATGAATATAGTGCCAATTTATAAATATGACTTCATAAATTTAATGTATCATATTTTTTTTAATTTTAAGTATCCTTTGTAAAGAAACATGCTCTAGCCTAAAATAATAGGAAGAAGAAGAAGAAGAAGAAAGAGAAGAAGAATTCTAGCAACTTCTATAAAATCTGTATTTGATACACGATATTTTTGTGTATGTATGTATATGTCATTTTAGGTGTATATAGTCCGAGTTTGCCGGCCCACTAATGGTGTCCCCCCGTGCCACGCTTGACGGTAAGAGCGACATGTCGTGAACAAGATGTATTCTCTTCACCGAAACCAGCTAAAGCAGCCTGCCCCAGCATTTCTTCGTTTCACGCCTAAAGAAACAGAGATGATTTTAAAGGAAAGCTACAAACTTCAAATTTTGCATCGTCTTGGAATCGAACCCGGAACCACTGCGCGGCGTCTCTCTTAATATTGGCATAAGACCCACCCGTAACTCTGTCTAGGTCCTGTACAAGCCACGTCGACCCTGCCACTTGCCTTCCTGGGTAAGTTAGAGTCTATAATAAATCCATTACGACAACGGAAGCTGACGTGAGCGCCCGACCTCTACACTTCCCGCCAGTTAGACAAAATTGTCACGAAGGTGTTCATATCCGTCGATTTTCCCCAGAAGGACAGCAGAGCCCCTTCCAAAATATTCAAGCATTTAAAGCGCAGTCCAAGCGTCCAGCCCAAACGTCCAGCCCAAACGTTCAACTCAAACGTCCAACTCAAACGTCCAACTCAAACGTTCAACTCAAACGTTCAACTCAAACGTTCAACTCAAACGTTCAACTCAAACGTTCAGCCCAGCGCAGCCCACTCTAGCTCAGCACTCACCCGCTTCTTCCCCGGCGGCGGCGGCGGCGTCTTCCGCCTCTTCGTCCCTCCTTACACGGCGGTGGCCCTCGCAGGAGACGTCCGCGTGGGCGCGGTCTGCGCCGCATCGCAGCAGCACGCGCGCGGGGCCCCAGGCGCCGGCGCACGCCCCGCCTCCCTCCGCAGTGAGGGGCGCGCAGGGCGACCAGCGGCCGGGCGCCCACTCCAGCAGGGCACGCCCCGCACATAGCGTCGAGCACCCCGCCTCCGCCCCCGCCCCTTGCACCTCCGTGGGCGGGGGCAGCAGCGTCGCCCGCAGCCCGCACGCCGATAGCCGCGTCGGTCGCGCGCACGACACGCTCACGGCGCTGCCGCCAGCGTCACTCGTCGCAGCGGTCACCGTCACCACCAACAGGCACCACGCCCACCTGCGCATGGAACGACATCTAGTGGTGGAAAATGTTAACAAAACATCGAAACATCAACAAAAGGTTTTCGATGTCGATGAAAATATCTACAAAACAATGTTTTAAATATACATGTTTTAAATGTGAAACATATCGAAGTAAAATGTCCTGGTCCTGTGGTGCACAACACGATCGTATTGGTTTCATGTGTATTCTGCCTTGAATTTGACTGTGATCTGATTTTTTTAATCAATGTTCTAGAGAGTCAAAGGTCAAAACACAGTTTAACGATATTACCTCGTAAAAATAACAAAAAAGGCAATAACGTCGGAGAAAGGTTACGACTAGCAATCGTTTCGTGCTGCCTGGATATTGACAACAGTGACGGTTCTGAATGACGTGATGCGAGCAATCCAAAAACAAACAAAAATAAATACTGGAAATTTTATTTATATAATGAGGAATTAATTTTTGAAAACATCGATGTTTCTAAACAAATATATCAATATGAAGAAAACATCTACAGCAAAACATCGATGCTATGTTATCGATGTTTGTTCGGTTCAAAATATCAATTTTTTGCCATCTCTATTTACAGCAGCCTGGCTCAAGATTTACCCAGATTTACCAAGTATACTTGATTGGAAATGAAATGAATGTCCGTAAGGCTGTCTAAAAAGAGTATGAGACGGACGTTGTGAAAGTGGTTTTATTTTGTATTGCGCCACTCGGCCTGTCGTTCTCGTCTTGCATCATTTCCTTCACGGACAATAAAATGCCACTTACCAATCGTATCATAAGCATTTTAACACTTGCACATGAAAACCTTCTGTGATTATTGATTGGAAAGGTTTTAGAAACAGCCTTTGCGTTGCGTTTAATAGGTATAATTAGATTTACAGAAGAATTATGAATATAAAGATTATATCAAAATATACACACCGTTTCAATAAACACATTTCGGTATTGTTTGTTGTACGCCATTAACTGATGAAGAAATTTCACCTCTCGAAATTTGTTTCTTGAAAACTCCGCATTCCTTGCATGTAAGGGTTGATTCACATCAAAACCGTAATTCTCACATTTTCAATACTTTATTAAAAATAAAACGTAAAAGTAAAACTGTTTTCTATTAAAATAATATCTATAAAATCTCAATAATCCATTTGGGTATATTAAATTGTCACTATAATTAGTTTATTTACGACTATTGAAAATACGTGCCATCAATTGATACATTTCACGCATAATTCAATAAATTTATGTAAAGGTATGAAACGCACTAATACATAAGAACTCTAGGAAAAACCGACTGGAAAAATCACTTGCAGCAACCAGTCGCCCGGAAATAGGTTGTTCCCTTTAAGGCCCGAGGCGCGAACATTTCAAGAATTCCTTACGTTCACTCGAAACAGTGCCGCCGAGTGAACGTAGTGCCGCCAAGTGAGTGAAGGTCCGGACGCGGTCACGGAGGCGACTTCGAAGCGCAAGTGCGAACATTCGTCATCGGCTGACTCACTTGCACGTGAAGGACGAGGCGGCGCGCTCGCGGTGCGGCGCGGCACGGCACGGCACGGTACGGCGCGGCGGTCAGCCGAGGTGCAGAACAGCCAGAGAAACGGTTTTGCGAGACGCGCACCCAAGATCATCGGTCGATTACACTAGCCAATTTTTTTAAGTTAAAAGACCCAAAGACTTGAATCTTGCTTCTCTATGTATGTCGACGGGCTGAATCCGAAGCCAGAATTGCATCACCACTTTCCTGTTGTTGTTTTTTTTTAATTGCGAAAAACACAGTAAAATTTACAATTTACAACTTTACGTTTTTTAAATTATTTTTATTTTATTTTATTTTTTTTTTTTGAAAAATTGATTGAAAAATAACTGGAGGGTGGAGGGCAATTCTAGCTTCGGATTTAGCGCATTGACGTGCATAGAAAAGTGTGTCAAGTCGTTGGGTCTGACAACAAACCCCGAAATTTAAAAAAAAAATACAATGTCACAGTAGTTTTTCAAGATTACAAAAAACTGGAGGCTGATTTTGGTTTCAGATTCGACTTCAGCGCGTCGACGTACATAGAAAGGCATGTATCGAGTCTGTGGGTCCGACAACTTCTTTTATTTTGTGGGCCTGTGTTATACTTCGATTTATTTGTAGTGACACTCAACGTAAGTCAGCTGTTACGGTGTCATCGAATTGGGAGCTTGAACGTCACTACAGTGAAACAGCGGATTAAACGTCAAGTGCCATTATAAATAAATCGAAGTATACAAAACCAAAAGATCCGACGGCAGTTTCATCCATCTCTCCCAAAAATTAAGCGTGACTTAGACTCTAGGAAAAACATTATGATTTTACTCCTGATCTGATGACACTACTGAGTGCTACATATTATTTTCTCTATTGCCACTGTGCAAATTAATTTGATTTTACTTAAGGTGCACTGTGTCTCTATTGCCACTGCAGGATGTGAATTGACATTTTTCCCCTGGAGGGACATTCACATCTAAAGAAGGGAAATGATACGAAGAATTGATGATGAATGACACGAAGACGTTCAATCAACCGGCTCAACGAATCGAAGAAGATCTTGGCGATGGGGACGACCCCAGGCATCGCCCCCTTCAAGTCGCCCTCTGTCACTGGGCACGTGAAAGCCAGAACCTTTCAATGTCGCATTATGTACATAAGTATTCATATCAAACGCCTCTAAATGTTTACATACGAATGTCGAGGGCATCTACAGGGGTTCTCAAAATTGATCGTACACTACGTAAGAATATACAAAGTTTCTTAGAAAAAAGAAGCATATTGCATACATGTGATGTACAAAACCAATGTAGGTATTAATGCAAACATTCTTCACACATACATGACAAAAAATTCATGAAATAAGTGAATAAATAATATATAATAAATAAAACCTCCTAATGCATCTGGAATTCACCATTAAAATGAATGTACGCTGGCAATATGTCGTTAAGAAAAAACGAAAAATAATAATTCAATATTTTGTGTAACGGCCTTTAGCACGGATAACAGCCTCCAGTGTTTGTGTCATTGATCTTATAAGCTTCCTTGTACATTCACACGCGATTTTCTTCTGTTCTTCATAGAGGTCCCCCTTGAACTCTTGTTTATTTGAAACTTAATGCTTCTGCACACGTTTTTTCCAATTCCCACCACTCGCTCTCAATATGATTGAGATCAGATGATTCTGGAGGCTTTTCAAGGCCCTTTAGTAAATTATAAAGCAACCCTAACAACACAAATGTGCGGTGTGGATGGACGTGCACTTTGTTTCACATTACCTTTTTAAATTAATAAATATCCAAATTTTTCAACTGTGGACTCAATAAAATGAAGATTCTCAACACCTGACGCAGACATACAGCCCCATACCATTACCAAATCCCCGCAATACTTTGGAGTTGCACGCAAATGTTTATCTTCTAAGTTTGATTTAACCCTCCACCGCATGTACTACTGCGCGCCTGATCTTGAATTGATATTCATCACTGAAAACCACAGTGCTCCCTGTTGTTGAAATCACTCACGCAGCCAATTTAATGACACTTCGGCGAAGATTCCTACTGATGTGATTGACAATACTTCTTTTATCGCGTTCGTTGTATATTGGTTTTCGGTCTCTACCTCTTCAATTAATTTATCTGCCATTATACTTTTCTATTATACCTTGAATAGTTGAATGAGGTCTTCCCTCTGTCTTCGCAAATACTTTGTGGTGATCTTCCGCTCACGGCTAAGTTGAAAATAAATCTTCATTCTTTCGTTTCCCACCATCGTTTCCCTTTTCGGGGCAATTTTCATTTTTATATTACTCTCCGCAAATCTGACCATCGACGAATTTGTTTGTCACTACTTTGTGCCCAGGAAAACATTTCAACGGGTTTTACGTTTCAAAGCGCGCTTCTGATGATGTACATTCATTTCTGTGTCAATGCTTATTTGTAACATTTTTCTGATTTCAAATTGCATTCGTCCTTCCATAGAATATCAAATATCAAAATTTGATATTTTATTTCTACAAATATTCAAATTAGAAGAATTCATATATCACTAGATGTGTTCATTAATGGTGTATGTTCAATTCTGAGAGCCACTACATAGAATTTGATCTGTTCCCATAGAACAATTGAATTGGCAGCCTAATACAATATTTTATTACTATTTACGTACGGCTCTGAGATGTTTTGAGTATCAACGCCACACCCCCTGATTTTACATTCTAAACACATTGCATAATGTTCGGTTCCGGTTCAGAATTATATTAATTGCTATTTTGGCTGAAGGAATTCAATGAATTTCATTCAAACATTTATGCGTTAGCGTATTTCAATAGCAGTTGAGAGTTAGTATCTTCCCGTTATCACAATTATCCCATTCTTTTTCAATGAAAAAGTATATAAAATATATGTAAAGTATATAAAATAAATGTAATAAAGGAAGGGTCTGACTCCAGGATTAATATCGTTTAATCGCTGTGAAAATCATTTTAATAACTTTCCTTTATAGAAAAATACAATTATCGTATTCCTCTTTTAAATAAAAGGAGGTCGAAGAAATATTCCAATCTTGTCCAATATAATTTATTGATGGCGAAACACTAGGTCAAAATGGCGCAAATGGATTGGTGTCTAGTAAACAGCAAGTCTGATTTCTAGACAAAGGATTCACTATCATCTGGCTGTTAGCTCACACACCGTTCATTCACTCGCTTCAAAACATAGCTGTGCCACGTGTCCCCACGTATGCATGCACTCATATACGCCCGCTCACGTTCATGACATTAAGGAAGCACTTGATGCCTTCGCGGGGAAGGTTTCGTAATTTCATTACTAAAGAGGCGTCAAGGTCTCTATGCTGCGACTGTCTTACGTTTCCTCTAATACCAGCGTTCCTGGATGTATGGGTTGCAAACGACATACATTGAACATTTCTTTTAAACTCTTGCCAGAGAAAACTGCGAAATGTTGATGGGTCTAATAATTAATTCTTGTGATGTTTCATATAGTGTAATTTGTTACTAAAATATTTAATGTAATGAGACTAGCTTCATAGAATGTACAGAATCATTCATTTCATCGACACACACACACACACACACACACACACACACACACACACACACACACAAAACTTCAAATCCTCCTCGCTAACTCTTACATTACATTTTTGATTATCGTGCCTAAACCCTAAATGAAAAATTAAATAAATTAGTACGAAAACCACCGTTTGTGTTTTGCGAACCTCTTTTAGAGAATTAGGGCGTGAATATAGTTCGTCTTCGATTTCTCTTAATTGCGCATATTTCCTTTTTTACACTTACAACACAGTGACTCATCCCAGGTGTAGCCACACCAAACGTAGAGATTACGTAATGCAACTGTTATTATGCAGTAAGGCACACATGTTCGTGTACATTAAACTTCCGTGTTGTACTGGCGATTTCCTATGCGTTTCGCCTCATTTTTATTACTCGCGTGCTTTGATTTCAAGATAATTCGACGTGTAATAAGTGAAAACATTTTATATTCTGTCAAAAATGACACTGCAATATTTAAAAAATCATATTATACGGAAAAGTAATCTTCAAGAATTTTCTTTTGGTGCAGAGTACAGTAGCGATCATCAAAAATGTCTTGACAGTGTGAGGGTATAGGAAAGTTAGATACGGGCTGATGAATATGACGCAAAAGTGTTCAAGAATACAAAGAAGTTAAGCCATTGGAATTCATTATGCTAATATGGAATTACGTCGCTTAGGAAGATCATGACAAAATCTATGTGGCAAATCTACTGTTAATTCCACATTCAAAAAAAAAAAAAATTCCCGTCTTTTAATAATTACACGACATTTTATTTGCACTTTTCAGTAAACTAACTTCACGACTTAACTCCCCTTACCCGAACACAATCGAATGGTGAATTATATCATACTCCAGTTCAAAAAACAAAACAAAAAAATAAATAACAAAAATCTTTTCAATTTCTTTGACAATATTGTCGTATTGATCACAAATTGTTCCTAGCGCAGAACAGTTCTTGGTTGTAACAGATCTTGCTCTGACGAGGATTTCATTATTTTCTCCCTCGAGTTTTAAAAAGGCAAAATTTTCAAAAAAAAGTCACCAATTTTGTTAATTAAGTTTTGTTGTTGGATATTGTCAAGGCCATTTAAGAGAATTGGGCAGGTTTTATTTTCGTTCAAATCACTAATTTTTCGAAAATCGCAGAAGTTCAATTTTTTTCGGCGTCTTCCTACAACTGAACTATTGAAGACTAATTTTTCTTCAATGAACTCTGTTCTTCAAAGATATAATTTGAAATTATGTTGGGTACAATTTTTCGAAAATTTGAGTACTTTTCGTGAAATTTTACGTGAAATATCGGCAATTTTTTATTTCTTTAAACAATCTTTTCTCAAAAATGGTTCCAATTTTTTTATTATAGCATTGCGTCGTAATGTTTACGAAAAGTTGATTCACTTGAAATATAATACGATTTAATGATTTTTTCTTTTCTTTTTTTTTCAAATATGATTTAATGTTGGATATTCTAACTTCTCCAACACGACGTTGGGTTTGAATGGAAATCGAAAAGTAGAATAATAATTAATAGAACGATATCGCTGGCAGAGAAATATTTTTCTGACTATATATTTCCAGCTACGTAATTGAGATGTTAAGAACATTTTTACTAGAAGAAATTAATGAAATTATAATTTTTTGTCTTAAAGTGTGAGAAGATATTACATTTTCCACCGTTTATGAAACAACTTTCGAAATGAATTAATTATTTTCTTAATGTACAATGAATGTAAAACACGAAATAGGGCAAAAAATAATTTATATTTTAAAATAGGCAAAATAGAAAATCTCCGCTGGTACCACAAAGGTGTAATTTGGTGAGTTTTGTTTTAAAAATTCAACCACCGTTTTAAAAAAAAATTCTAGCTTGGCCACTGACCCTCTGCAGCCGCATTAGATTAATACATTAATATGATTTATATACAAGAATCATTTGAGACATTATAAACAGAAATCAGCTATCTTCTATGAACGAAAAAATTGTGTTGCCTAATTTCCATTCTCTACTGATGATTAATGCAATCTGAATTCAGAATTAGAATGAGGCATCGGTGAAGGTGTATGTTATGCCTTTACTTTTCCCTGGGTGAGAAGGAACAGACAACGCAGGACAAACCCAAAAGTACCGGGAAATCGTTTCACTGACTCACAGGAAACATCGACACCACTGGCAAGTTCATTTCCTTTTCTTTGTTGTACTTAATTCACATTGCGACAATAAATTAGTTCACGAAATTCTCCTTTAAAATCCCAATCACGTAATTTTTTAGAATAATTATTCCAATCACACCTTCTACATTAAATATTTTCGATTTATTTTGAAATCTCAAACATTGGACTTCGTTGAATGATTATGCTAAGATCAATTATCCATATTTTGGGGTTATGGAATTTTTTGGCTAAACGCGATCGTCAGATCAGGAAGAAAAAGTATTTCTTTTCAGATTATTTACAAAATTATGTGAATATGTTTATTGAATCCTATTGAGTATGCTCTTATCTATCAGAATGATTGGTTTTACATATGTACGCCTGGGTATAGCCGGTTAGTATGCCTAATATTAGACTTTCTATCGGGCTAATGCGTCATGGGCTAAATGCCACTGGAATTGTTTACTGAACTTGTTTCCTTACTTGGAAATCTGAGAACTTTTATCAACGAAATCTATTCGTCTATAACGCAGTACGTTTTCTACGGCGGCGTTGAAATAGAACAACCAGTTGAAGCATGCCAAGCTATGTCCAGGCATTTATCATTTTCCTTTATCCCATTTTCACCCAATCCATGATGGATCTAATCAATCATGATCCATCCATTTAATTTAATACATAACTAGAATCGTAACACATGACGAACGAAATATCAGGTGTCAGCATCAACAGTTACTACAAAAATTTCACTTTCTTGTTCATTATCTTACAAAACCAGGCCCTCGCGCACTAATCTGCGAAGATGCTAATGGTCCAAGTACATTTTGCCGTTTTTAAAAGGAATTATTTATTTACATACTTTTATTAGTAGAAAAGTTTAGTTTTTTAAAATGGTATTTACTGAAGTGTTATTATATATTTATTAAATAGTAAATAATATCTATGTAGAATATAAAATAAGGCACTTTTCGAACTTTCAAACTTGCAAATTTGTTTATGAAACTTTCTAATAAATATTGTTGCATATTTCACCTTCAAATGGTATCATCGCCAGATCTGTTAATATTTCTTGTGGCATGGTTGATCGGAGGAAGTTTTTAGACTAAAAACTTTTAATTTTGAAAATGAATTTTGTCTGGTGCCTACTGTACCTGACAAACTTTGTAATATCACGGTAATATTAGGGAATAACCCGGATACTGCTAAGTCACTGAAAGAGAGTAACCAGGAGGGAGTGTGCTATTCAAGGTTACTGTGACGTAGGTAGGAAAAGTGTGCCAACGGGGGAAGATATTCGAACTGCGAATCACTGGTCAAAGCAGGAAGCTGCTGAGCAGAACTGTAGGAAGTATACTGTCAAATGAACGTGGAGATGGGGGTTACGGAGAATGACGAGAAAGGCGCACAGTAAAGTGTTGTACTCATTTCATTTAGCATTGAATCTACCGCTCCTCGAAGAGCACTCTAAAAATGTAGCTATAAATTTATCTTCAAAATTAAACGCGTCAAAGAATGACACTTGTCAAAATTTAACATTGTATGAGCTGGATCGCACTGCCACGTACAAGCGCCCGAGATATATACTTCAATATAGTGCGATATTTATATAGTGGTCTCTCAAGGCCCGTTTTCACGATGGAATATATCAGGGCATTTCGCGTCTTTCTCGGTAGTTCCGCTAGATGTTGCATGATCGCGAGCGTATGAAGTAGTGCTTGCGATCATACGACATATAGAATGCCGTGACATATTCCATCATAAAGACGGGCCTTGAGAGGCAGCTGCATAAAAACCGTACCATAAGGAAAACGCCAATACTGACAAGAAAATTGAGGTAAACCACACCAAAAGCGCGCCGAACGGCTATTCTTTCCTGACCTTGTTTATTTTCTATGTTAGAGATAAGCCATAGATTTCCGAAAGATGGGATGACTACGAGGTGCTACGCAGGGAAGTGTGTCAGCGACGCACCTCGCGGCCACACGCAACTGTGTTGCATAACCGGGACCACGTGTTGTACTCACTATATTGTACATAACGCTAACAAGTTTGAGTTAATTTTCCATTGAAGAAATTTTCCAGGAATGAATTATCACAAACCTTTCATATTTCAGATCTTCAATATTCATGGATATACATTTTAAATTCATATATCTTCCAACAGTTTCAATGAGCATGCTAGTGATCATTTCATCACAACCAAACATTTATTATTGTAATACTTGACGTTTATGTACATTTCATACATACATGTTAATTTAGCATGGCATGGTGACTTTAAATAATTAAAATTAATACACAAATTTAAATATTGTCCACTACATTTTTTGCACGTCTACTTCTACACAATTAGAGACTAAACCGAAAATTAAAATAAAAAATTATATTTATTTTAGCAATTATATTAATGCATTAGTTCTTATTTCTACTCCAAAAATCTAAAATATTAAATATGCCTGAAAATTGTAGCAAGTATTTTACTTAAGCTTGTGGGTCAATGACACTTGCAAATACGTTTTCAATTACCAGGGAGCGGAAATTTCTAGTTTTCAAATGTTGCTTATCTTGCTTTAATTAATCATTCAACTGTTTATGATAGAAGGATGGGGAAGAAATCCTATGGTTCACGAAAACGCGCACATTGTATTACGCCCCTATACATCACAGAATTTTTACCGTTCTTAACAAAAAATAAATAAATTTCTTCTACCCCATATGCCATATACAGATTTTACTGTTTTTTTTACTGAAAAATAAATAAAATCGCTTCTCCCGAACTCGATCAGGTTTTTAGTCGTTTTCCTTGATCCATCGAGAAAATCTTGTGATGACCACTCGCTTTTTTCTGGACATAATACTTCTCTCTGCGCTCAATTTCTTCAGCTTTGAATGGTTTTAATGGGGAATTAGTTATGTCACCCGCACTGGCACACTGTGTAAGAGATATATACACACACGTACGCACACACAATAAATATTATATTATATATATAATATCGTGGTAGTGAGCCGATTCCCTCACATGGCACCATAAGAAATAAGAGCAAAAACCTCTTGCTCCTTTACGAATGCAAATAGCGTTTATTAGAGGGGAGCGATTATTTCATGCAAACAAATTTTGCCACAAGTGCTTATTGCCACTTTTATTCATAAAGTAGTACAGTTTGTTAGCTTAGTAGAAGAGCAGACTCAAGAAAACTTGCAAAATTGTACTTCATTCCAATACCTGCACGTCACATGAAATACTTAAATTGTTTATGATAGTAAATAAATACAATGATAGAGATTATTAAAACAATATAAACTATAAAATCAATTTCTGAAGATCCGAAATAAGAATATGTTATATATTGGGGTATCATTCTTGCTTTCGCATTTATGTTCAATACGTTAATGTGAAGTTTTACCCTTCCCTGCCCCGTCTTCCACAACATTAATAAAACAACTCCTGTCTCCATAGATAAATTAACCCTTCCGCAAAAACCCAGACTCCAGACCCTCGTCCTGTACAGGGGAAAGGAGTCAAAAAACCCCAAACAACAACCCACTGGAAGCCCATTGTTCGAAGAGACCCCGCAAGGGGTCAGGCAAACACGATTTGTACACCAAATGAGACGTTATAAAAGGATGTGTTACTTACATTTCTTCCGCAATACGGTCAGCGCTATCTTTCAGATTTCTGCGAGTACTTCACTAGGCCTAACGAAGAAATTTCTCACATTACAATCTATTATTCGTTTTACAAAATATATTTCAATGTAAAAATATATTCAAAGGTAAATGACTCCAGTACTAACGGACGTATGAACACATATTATTCATTTCTCGTCACAATTTGCCTGGTAGACTGTGTGACGGTTTTCTGAAATTACAATCACAATTTTATGATTAAACCAACTGTAGTATTTTTAACCGAATCCATTTTCGCGTGACTCGTTTATCATTGATACGACGAAGTTTAAAAAATACGAGGAATTATGAGAACTTGCATTACAAGCTCAACGTTTTCTCAAAAGGTAAAAGGAGACGCACGCACTTCAAATACTGTAAGTAATATTAACATTTACCGAAAATCTCCGTCTCTTTAGATGGAGAATTTCTGAATTTATATTATTCAAGTTTTAGATTTTGGGATCACTGAAAAACATCACCGATTCTCATTTCCCGAATTTGAGCTCACGTTTATTGCTTACCTTTTGTTGAATCTGGCAACATGGCCGACAGACTAACATTTTCGTTCCGAGAACACAAGAATTCGAACGCAAGCGTATGTTCTACACTTATTATAGGCGATGACGGTTTTGCGGAAAATATAAGAACTGTTTTAAACCTTCAGAAAATTGTAGTTCCACTGTCCAAGTCAGAATCTGCAACTGCTACTGGTTAAACATTTTCCGATTTCGAATGTACAGTTCACCTTTCGTAGTTTAATGTTGCTCTTGAATCAAATCATTCTTAAATGTGATGCGTAAAAACTTATGGATAATTTCACGAAACGAACGGTCAGAAACGGTAAACTTCTAAGCAATAAAAGTGCAAAATACTAAATATTTTTCGCTTGATCTTCTCTACCCATGGTGTCTGCAGACAATCGATTAAGACAGAGGAGGTACGCAGGAAGAAAATACTGGACTGTGCCTCAGCGAAAGGAATATTCATTTTTAAAATTGCATGCTTAACATTTATTAAACCACAATGCATATCCTCGGCATGGAGGATTGGCATTCGAAATGTCAAAGGAAATCAGGCCATATGTACTACATAATTCTCAGTTGTACACACTCTCCCCTACAAAAACAAAATTTTACACTTCATTGCATACGAGAAAGAAAAATGTTTTTTTTATAATGCAAACTTACACTTTCAGACGCAAATGATAAGAAATATAAATCATGATTTACATGTAAAACAGAAATTCAAAAAAAGCTTAGATTTATTGTAAGTAAATTTGACACTTTCATAGATAAGATAGTATAAGAATGCAGTTTTCGTGCATTGTTGTGCTCAAATTATTTCTGAGCAATTTATGCTTTGAAACTGGTTTCTCTGCTGCAGTTTAATAACTACGTGTTTTGAGTGCTAAGATATTATTAATAAGCTTCATTATTTCAAAGAGATCTTTAATAATCTATGGTTGGGCAAAGTTGGGGAGCGGGTAAATCTTCAAACTGTGAATAAACAACTGATAATTAGTATTCGGACGCGACAATTATGCAATTTGGGTGGCGCGTTGAAGTGGTCCAGCAATATGAGTTAGCAACAAACGAAGTAAGACATAAATGTTTGCAAAATAATTAATCTAGATAGCGGCGTCAATGGCCCTGCATGAGAGAGTCTACAATGATAGTGCAACGTACAGCGAAATTAATATTGGCAAGAATGAGTTAAATGGGGGGGGGTAATTGTTGTCTCCGGGGACGTCAACTATCTCGGTCATTAGTTATGTATTACTCGCGCAAATTTTCTTGATACACGATCTACCTAGTCCTCATCCAACGCTGAATAGCACGGCACGTTGAGATATTTAGGTTCGACTCGGAACGGTACGTACCAATTTATAATGCTGGCAACAACCGCCTCGTATTTTCAAAACAATCGTAGCATTTCTCGTGGCACGCTTTGGCGAGTTCAGTTCATGCCCACAGTTGGTACCCTCTTTTAAGTCGGGACGTAGCGAGAGTCCTCCTGTCCCCGCACCCCCTGCTGTGGAATATCAAGAAAACTTGCACGTAAAGTAAGAGTAATGCATGTCACTTTCCGGGAGTGACGGTTTTCCCACAGGAACGTAAGATTCACTTTCGACCAGGTTTGCGGTTCCGTCTCACTTGTGGCACCGCTAGTCGAGACAAGCGCCGATTTGTGTCCCCACACCCTTAGGATCTGACGAAGAGCAGGGAGAGTCACCTAACTTCTCTGTACCAGAAGTTGCGAAGGGTAAGCTCACATTTCCAATACAGTTCTGAACAGATCGGAGCGGTTATGACCATTGCTGTTAGCTTTTGTCAATATCACTTAAGCTTACATGCAATTCAGTAGTGAAGCTGGTTATTTCAATTCTTAATTTGAAGTTACAACCCCC